GCTAGATCCATTTTGGCCATTAATGACCAAATTAGCGTATGGATCTGACTGAAAATGGCCAAAATGGTTTTGGCCATTTTCGGCCAGACCATCTGGCTATTTCTAACATTCAATCTGGTTAGAAATGGTCAAATCAATGCACAGTCGGGCAGATCCAACCGTTAGTACGTCGTTTCAGTAACTATTGGTGGTGGCCAACGACCAACAGTCGTCTTGAGTGGTTAGAAGTATTTTGGGTATTATTCATGTAAATAATGAGGGTATTTCTATCAAAAAAATTAATATATGAGGTAACAAAAGTCATTTTGCATATTTTGGCTAATTGTTATTTAGTAGACATACGAGGACATTTGCGTTTAAAATGTTTATTGATTAAGAGTAAAATTGGTATGAATAGTGGATCACCCCGGTAATAAAAAAATACCACCCTTTCATACGGTAATTGAATTATCCCCTATATTACCTACAGTAATCACTATTAGTATTAGTCGATTATCAGAATATTTCATTACTTGACACCTAAACATGACAATTGTCGAATTAAAAGATAGATTATCAATGTTATCTTTTATGACCCCAAACCAAACGCTCGCTTCTTTTTAAATTAATATATATGAACTTGCCAATACAATTTTATCTCTAATTAATTAAGTTTTTGGACAATAATGCCCTTATATTTAAAACGAATTACAAGCCATCCAAGACAACCACCGCCCGCCAATCGGCAGTGGATTGAGGGTGATTTTGTTACAAATTAAACTTTTATATGGTTGGGGTATTTTAGCAAAATTTCAAATGTAGGGGGTTAAAAAAAAATCATTCAAAAAATAATATTATAGTAATATTTAAAAAGGAGGGTAATTTAGTAATTTTTATAACATACCCACCAATTTATTCCTCCCAACCAAACATATCAATATAACATACCCATCAATTTATTCAAAAAACAATATTATAGTAACATTTAGAAATGAGAGCAATTTAGTAATTTATATAACATACCCATCAATTTATTCCTCTCAACCAAACATATCAATATAAAATACCCACCAATTTATTCCAACCTAATCAAACACATTTCTCTAAACATTTCTAATAATCTTCAAAGTAATCTATCTTTCTATTAATAAAACATTTCTAATAATATAATATTTCCTGAACCAAACACACCCTTAGGTACCTTATGGGCTAGAATGAGATACCTAAAAGGAAGAAGCAATAAACCAATCTCATGGGCTAGAATAAGATACCTAAAAGGATAATATACCTAAAAGGATGATGCAATAAACCTAGGCTTTTAAGTAATTATAGCGCATGATTCATCCGTTTAGAATTGGGCTTCTTCATTAAGCTTCCCATAAATTCTCAGTTGTGAAATTTTAGGCCCAATGAGGCCATTATAGAATAATGGACGGAACACTGGGCTGGTTTTATATTAAAAAATTAAAAACATCGGTGATTAAATCAAATTAAATATGCCTGATGATATTCAAGCTCCTGTTCGGATTCTCCATAAGTGATTTGACTTTTGATTCATTAATAGTCTTCTTCTTCTTCTTCTTCTTCTTATTTATTTATAATTATTATCGTTAAGGGTTAATTTCCTTAAAATCCTTCTAGGACACGTGATGACCTCTCAAGGTGGCTACACTGAAGCCAATCGATCATGTCAAATGGCAATTCAAGTCTAGGTCTCACCTAAGATAAGGTAGAATGGCTTGGGATCAATCAGAGATAAGAGTTGGTTTGACAAATCTTAGAAATGTGAGAAATCACAATTATCCTGATCTCTTACACATATTTAATCTTCGAGAAATCTACGGGTATAAATTAAGGAGGAAGTTGTTGTTTTGAGAAAGACACAAACACTAAAAAACCTATGGCTTCTCATTGAAAATAGAAAAAACATTCTTCCTTCCACTTGAAAGTTAATGCTTAGTTAATTGGTCCACATAACAGCAAGAGAGGCAAAAAAAAAAAAAAAAAAAAAAAAAAAAAGTGCCACTGCCAACCCAATTGATGTATGACGAAGGCCCAGATCAATGAAATTGATGTCAACAATGATAATTATTATTAGTTTTAAGCAATATTCTGAAAATTGGACCGGGTTTTGACCCAATCAAAGTTCTGGTTCATAGTTTGATCGGTATGACCAGTCGGGTTGGTCCGATCCGACTTTCAGAACATTGGTTTTAAGTTTGTTGCTTCTCTAGACGTTGATCGAATTCAATCTAAGCTCTTACTCAATCGACACATTAAATAATTTGTTGATCGAATTTTCAACAATGCATTAAAATAGTAAAATTAAATACAATTATTTTTTATGTGATACTATTTATTTCATGAGAGCATAATAAAGTTACTTAAAGACTTGTCTTTTTTTTTTTTTCATGGTGATGACATGATACCATGTAATTTATTACCATGTGACAATAATAGATTTTGTTGTTGGTTGCTGTTGAATAGTAATCTTGGAATAGTTGAAATCAAAATTAATTGCGTAGGTGGGTAAAATTAAATTTCAAAAAACGCCATTAGATTAAATTGACTCGAACACCCTTATCATTTAAAAAAAAAAAAAAAACACTTTAGGCTAAATTGGTCAAAACTGCATTTTTGTACACATCGTATACTATATTTCCAGCATAATAATATAAAGATGAATCTCTACATCTATATAATTATAAATTTTTACATTAATTTTTAAGATCAAAATTCCAAAAAAATAATAAATATTTATAAATTCAAAGTCGAACAGTACGGGTACAGTCAGGGGCGGATCAAGCATCATTAGGGGCCTATCCTCAGTTTTTGAAAAAAAATTGTAAATATTTATAGTTAATTATTTTTATACCAAAAAAACTTATAAATATATAAAGCCCACAATCACAGTAATTGTTACATTAGGTTAATGTCAAGCCCACCAATCATAAATATTGCAGCTATGTTGGCCTAACTGTTTCATTATAACTGTTTCATTATATATACGAGGCTAATTAATCTATACAGTTTTTTGTATCTTTAATTTTATTTAGTGAGTGTGTCTCTTTGTCTTCATCGCTTAGTTATAGTTAACTTTTGAAGCCCAAATTTGTCAATTTTTTAGTATTCAAGGTGTCACATTATTTTCTGCTTGATTAGTTTAGGTTTTTATATTATTTATTTTAATTTAGTTTATTTTAAGATTGAATCATTTTTTTTGTTTTAAAATTTTTTATTCCGATGAAAAAAGACATGAATTTCATGAGTTTGTTTTATGTTTGTTTGATTTTGCAATTGGTTGAAAACATTATTATCAATTTGACTTTAAATATCACAAATACATTTATAAAATTAATTTTTTATATAATTAAAAGACAACTTGATTTGAACCAATCATTTATATATTAATTATAGTATTTTTATTATTTTATAATGTGATTAGTTGGCTAAGTATGTTCTAATAATAATTAAATTAACTCTAGTTAATTTATACCAATAATTTAAATGTCGAGAAATTGATTAACAAATTATATAAATTTTTAAATTTCACTAAAATGATTTTAAATATAAAAAAATTAACATAATAAAAAAATTAATTAATTACTAAATAATCTTTTAATTAGATCTAATTGTTACATTAAAAAACATGATAAGTAATTTTTGTAATTTTATTAATTAAAGTTTCACCAATCTTTCAAATTATCTATTTTAATTTAATAGTTGTGATATTCAATTATTTTAAAAAATTAAAGAAAACTTCAATAAAGATTGTATTTTTTTATGAATTGAATGTAATTTTTAACATATATGCTCAAGGTTTTGGTCAGAGTTTGGTGATTTTTGTGGACAACAATGACAGGCTGCGGACGCCCCGAGCAAAAATCCTGCCTCCGCCACTGCGTACAGTTGCAGTATAAATGGGGACTGGTGGTAATATTACAAAGAGAGCGGCGAGCCTCAGAGTTAGGTGTGGAATTCAGTTTCTGGCTTTTAATGCTTTGAAACTTCTTCCTTATCTGCCACCGAGCCTGACGTGAGTCTCTCTTTATTGCTTACTGCGCTTTTTGTCTTTCTCCTACTTTTAGATCGTCCTTTCTCTTAACTTTCGGTAACGTTACCTTCTCCCCGGTTTTCCTTCACGAGAGTTATGTTCCAGTAACGTAGAAATATTATTTAGCATTTTAAAGATATCAAAATAGGCCGAGTTTTTTTCCCACCCTAAGTTTTGTGTAAACTACTTACCACCCCTTAGTTTAAAAACCAAATCAATCTCACCCATTTATTTGAGAAGTTATCATTTATCAACGTTCCACTTTTCGTTAATCACTTTTTTAGTATTGACAAAACTTTGACATCTAAAATACCCATTTTACCCTTAATATTAATTAATTCTAAATTAATCAAAATTTTATTCCAAGCTAATCCAGATTAATCTTACAATTACACTATTTACACTCAATTAAGATTAATTTGTCCAAAAATAAGCACAAAATTCTTTATATCATTGGTTCACCAAAAAGATATTTATCCTACAAAACAGAACATTATTCTTCTTTAATCACCGAAACAACGACTTCTTCATCACCATCACAAAATTACATCTCATAAACTACATTCGAACATCTCATTCTAACAGTAAGATGAAGATCACCACCAACATTATGAACTAATAATAAAATCACTAAAAAAAAAAAAAAAAAAAAAACATGGCAAAACAGTGAAGGTTGTCCGAGGGAATGCATTTGGTGACGAAGATCTTGGCCGCACAACTCAGGACAGATCTTGGGCCGGCCAAGCCGCATCGCGAAAGGCCAATATCATTCTCGGCCATGACAGCTGGTCTACTGATTGAGACTTGAGAGGAATATACAGATAGTATATATAGAATGATCTTTCGAGATTTTGTTGGACCGAAAGATATCTTCTCCAAACTACAGGGACGAAAAAAAATCATCTATATGTTTACATGCAACGTTAACGTTATGTGAGGGCACCCTAATGAATTTCTTTAAATAAAGAGAAAACCCCACTCTGTTGCACATTCACTCACTCTCTTCTCTTCTCCAGCTCCTTCTCTCTGCAACAAAAATGGCTTCTACAATTCCATTTTTTCTCTTCACCTTCACTCTTCTTCTATTTTCCTCCCTCACTCTCTCTCGCGCCACCTCAATAGACCCCACCACATTCGTCCTAGACATCTCCTCCGCTCTTCAACAAACACTCAATATCCTCTCCGTTGAACCGTTCGCTCAAGAAACTGTATTCCTCCCCTCAGTCAACTCTTCTTCTTCTTCGTTTTCACTGCCGCTCCACTCTCGTGAAACCGTATTCAAAACCCAGCACAAGGACTACAAATCCCTAGTCCACTCTCGGCTCGCCCGCGACTCAGCCCGAGTAAACTCTATCCTCACGAAGCTCCAACTGGCCCTCAACGGTATAAGCAGACAAGACCTCAAGCCCCTCGACAACCAGATCCTCCCCGAGGATTTGTCTACTCCTGTTGTGTCCGGGACCAGCCAAGGCAGCGGCGAGTACTTCTCTCGGGTCGGAGTCGGGTCCCCAACAAAACAGTTCTACATGGTGCTCGACACTGGTAGTGACATTAACTGGATTCAGTGTGAACCTTGCTCTGAATGTTACCAACAATCCGACCCGATTTATAACCCGAAATTGTCGTCGTCTTATCGTTCTCTCGGTTGTAACTCTGCTCAGTGTGGACTTCTCGACGTGTCGCAGTGTAGTGGAAGCACTTGCCAATATCAAGTGTCGTACGGTGACGGGTCTTACACTGTAGGTGATTTCGTGACCGAAACGGTGTCGTTTGGAAAAAGCGGGACCGTACCAAATGTGGCTATAGGTTGTGGTCATACCAATGAAGGGTTATTCACCGGAGCTGCTGGTTTGCTTGGACTCGGTGGTGGCATGCTCTCACTCACTAAACAGGTTAAAGCGACATCGTTTTCTTACTGTTTGGTTGATCGTGACTCGGCCAGTTCTGGCAGTCTCGAGTTCAACTCGCCCTTTCCCGCTGGGTCAGTCTCAGCTCCGCTATTCAGAAGCAAAAAAATTGATACATTTTATTACGTGGGGCTCACCGGGTTCACCGTCGGAGGCCAGATGGTTCAAATCCCACCGTCCCTTATCGAATTGGACCAGGCAGGCAACGGTGGGGTCATTGTCGACTGTGGGACTTCCATAACTCGGTTACCGACTCAGGCTTATAATGCACTCCGTGATTCGTTCCGTCAAAAAACGGGCACCTTAAAATCCACAAGCGGCGTGGCTTTGTTCGACACGTGTTACGATTTATCTGGATTATCTAGCGTGAAGGTCCCAACGGTGTCATTTCTCTTGTCCGGTGGAAAATCTTTGAATTTACCGGCCAAAAATTTCCTGATTCCAGTGGATTCGGCGGGAACATTCTGCTTCGCTTTCGCCCCAACGCCGGTGTCTATGTCAATAATAGGCAACGTACAACAGCAGGGGATACGTGTCAACTACGATTTGGCTAATAATCGTGTGGGGTTCACTCCTAATAATTGTTAAGTGGTTTTGAAACTTTTAAAAGAGTAATTTATAGTTTTACCGTAATTGGTAAAGTGACAGTGAAATATGGTTACATGGGATGTTTTACGGTACGTTTAAATGTATGATAATGAAATGCTATTAGTAGCTCTGATGGGTGGATGAAAGTGGGATCCACCTTAATAAATAGCAATCAAGCCATCGGTTGGTGTGCCGTGTGGGGCGTTTATGGCATGTATAGCAAATTGAAGGAAGTTTAGTGGCAAGAGTAATTGTATGGCTCCGGTTCACAATTTTATGTTTTTGGGAAAAGTTTTTTGAAAAAAGTTAAAAAAAATTGAATTGGACGGGTATTATGATGTAGAATTTATAAATTAATAAAATACTCTTTATTTTTTTTTATAAAATACCCCCTATAATAAAACATTAAAAGTTAACAAAAATACTCTTAACCTACCCTCAAATACGGACAGTCAGCCACCATCACCGGAGGGTGGTCGGAGTCGCCGTATCGGTGTATGATCAGTTGGATCTTACCGGTCGTGCTTCGATATGGCCTTTTCCGGCTAGATCCATAGTAGATCTGGTCGGCAAAGGCCAAATCTACGGCTAGATCTGGCCATTGACGGTCAGATTTGGCCAGATTTGCTCGTCAATGACGGCTAACAAAGGTCATCGTTGATGGTCAACGACGACCGTTTGTTGGCCATTGTTACCGACTGGTTACGGCCAAAGATCTGGCCTTTTTCAGTCAGATCCACCGTGGATCTGGTCGGAAAAGGCTAGATCGGTGCACTACCGACCAGATTTAGCCGGTAGTGCACAATCCTACCAGATTTCGACCATTTTCTGGCAGTGGTGGCCGGAATTTGGTAAATATGGATTGTTAGGGTGTTTTTGTAATTTTTTACAAAATATTTAGGGGTATTTAATTAAATTAACAAATTTAGGGGTTTAAAAAATGTTGAATAATATTGAATAATATTGTGAGTTTTTGGATATTTTACTGTTTAACTTTTTTGGGAATTCTAAAAGTAATATTCTCAAAATGCAATCAAACGAAGCCTATGTGATTGTGATTTGCCCAATTATGTTTGTTTGATTAAAAGTGATAATATTTAATTTTTCGTATACCTTATCTCCATTTTTCTTTTCAAAATTTGCATATAAAATTCGTGTATCTTAATAATTTATACAGTATTTTCTAAGTTTAAATGCTTCCAAATGGTTTGGATAAGCTATGGAGGGAGCATCCAATAACAGTGAGAAGAAATTTCTGCGCTGTGGTGTGTTATGCCACGTGTTGCCAATTGTAGAGTGACTGTTTGTCTTGTGACAATGACGGAGATATTTGAAATTTGTAATTACATCTCTAACCTTACAGCTAGTTTGTGAAAGGAATAAAATAGACGAGACGGAGGAGGGCCCACCGTGATAGTGAGGGTGGCTTCGTCGTTTAAGACTATCAAATCTGATATTCGAAAATCGTGAGACTACAGTAAACTAAATTTTCCCACTTGGCCCGTGATTGTCGGCAGTATTTTTATTTTTATTAAGTTAATAAGTGGGCTGATATTATACATTTTATTTTGGGATAAATTTTTAAATCCCCTTCGGTTTACCAAAATATGAAAAAAACCCTTAGGCATCAGTGATAATGTGAGACCTTCTGTCATATGTGAGACGACAATAAAATTCCATTAAAATTGTTAAAGAAAGGGTAAAACGGTCATAACACATGCAGAGAGAGTTTTACAGGTTTGGGCAAACTTTTCTTTTCTGGGGGCGAGGCCGTGGGGGGTGTTAAAGTAATTATCTATTTATTTGTTATAAGCAAATAGGGAAAGAAAATATTTTAATTTCTGTAACTGTGTGGATTGTCAATTATGTTAATGTCTGACAGACGATAAGGGATTATGATTTATGCGTCATTTCTGACGGGTTTCTAAGATTTGAGCAAATATTGGAGGGTTTAATATTATCCCTGTTTAGATTTAATTCTCATAATGTAAAACAGAACTTAGAGGTCAATATCAATATATTGTTCTTTCATAAGAAAGAAAAGAAAAAAGAAAAAGTGTATTGCTTTCCAAGAAGAATAATTTTGGTTGGTTTGTAGTTAGAGACATATCTTGAAATGGTTAGTCACAAGGGGAACAAATTATTCGTTTGGCGCCACACAAAATTAAAGTTGAATAATAAAAAAGGTGGACGGTAAAGCTTCCAAAATTAAAATCTTAATCAAAATTTAGGGCCGTTGATTTAGTCAATTTTGGATGCTAGTGTTGTTCATACAAATGAGAAAAAAGACGAAATTGCATGTTAATAAATTATTCAACATATTCCCCCACATAATTTATAAATAATTGGTCGTACACAAAAAAATCAGAAATATATTGAGTAGGCAGATCTATTTTTACATTAATTAATGTACAAAATAATTTGTCCGTGAATGCATTTTGATTGGTTAGGTATATTTATATTTATATTTAACATACTCGTCTTTTTTTTTCTATGGACTCGTGTATTAATTTAAATTGAACCCTTTTTTGAGTTTATGATCTTTTAAAATCAAAATATAATAATAGTAAACATATTAGAATATTTATATGGACGTTTCAATTATTTGTAGTAAAGAGGATATGTGGTTTTATGTCTCAATCAATATGAATAGGATTTTAAAGTTGTGTCATTATTATTGTGATGTTAATTTGTGGGGAATAAGTGAGCTGTGAGCGTAATGTTGCGACGATTCTCTTATCTAGATCATATATTATAAAAGATGCCTACGCAATCTAGCTAATTGCATATTCATAGTTTATTATTCATTAATTCAATATTTTAACAAACTAAGATATAAATAAAATGCTTCACATAATTAACTTTGAATAATTTCTACATTGTTTTTAATGCATGGATTGGAGTTGAATTTGTTGAACACAAAAAAGTGAAGTAGATTTAGCATTGAAAATTTAATTAGGTCAACTGTGATTTGGTAGGTTAACTTTTCGAAGACTATTTATTTAATTTTATAGAAGACTTTACCCAATCTACGGCCACATATTTTTCACATTAATTTGCCTTCAATTAAGGCACAATCTTGGATTGCTTTTTTCCCTTTTCATGGTTGTTATCCTATTTAAAATAATTGCTTTAATATTAGTCAACGTGTACATATATAAAACAACTATAAATTTGTAAGAGAAATAATTAAAGTGTTGTGGAACTAAAATTTAACTAGTTAATTAAATTAAATAATATCCTGTAAAAATGCAAGAAGGGCTGGCTAGAAATGTAATTTACACACTTAATTGCATTAATTTTGTTTTGAAAATGAGCTTTTGTAAAGTTTTTGCATTAATTGGTTTAGATTAAGGAAAGATATATGCAAGCGAGACTTTTTGTAAAGTTTTAGCATTATGAAATGTTCATACCAATTAATACTTCCTAACAAAAGTCATGCCAACTTGTACTAAAGCATGGGGCTTTAAAGAAATTTGATTAATGATCAGTTATTGAACCCAATCACTGATCCAAATTAGGAATCATACTTTATTTTGATGCTTTTGGAGACAAACAAGGGAAATACTGTAAGGGTGGGGAAATCTAGTTAAGTGGACTAGTTTGATACTTTTTTGAATCGAAACGGATTTCAGTTCTAGTGGGAAATCGAATTGAAACCAGATTGGTTTTTCACTTCAACCGGTTACTAACCGAATAGAAACCAGAATAAAGTATGATTCCTAATCTGGATTAGATCCTCATGTAAACAAGGATATACTTCATTATTCTAATTTCAATTTTTAATAGAATTTCTCATAACCTATCTTATTATGTTCATTTTACTGGAATTTGACTAAAGCAAAAAGCAACTAATTTGAGAATAAATGGAAGTAAATTATAATGAAAAATTAAAACAAGGAAATCTTATATCTTTCATACAACCTGTAATAATAATATTCCCAAAGATCATTAAAACAGCCTGGGCCTATATCTCTCCAAGAAGAAAATGAAAACCTTGGTAACTTTATGACTGAAGATCACCACGAACACCATCGGAATATTTTCCAGAAGATAACTGAATTTCTACGTGAGAACTGGAAGTTAATTTCCATGGTAAATGTTATGGAGAGGAGACATAAAATAATGGTAGATTTCTCCATCTCAGCTGACTCTTGTTCCTTTCTTCTGCATGTACCTCATCAGCTATATGTCTCGCTTTTTGCTCCATATTTTCTTTCTACAATTTCCAGAATGCACTTTCTTATTACATACATACCATTTGGGAAAATTTAAATTGACTTCTAAAATTTATGACATTTACCATATTCCATGGATCGACCTCTATCATTCCCATTCTCTAATTTTTCTTCATCCTGTGATAGTTATACAGTAAAACAAATATATTACACATATTCCCATCAAGCATTGTCATTATAAGTTAAAAACAAACACAAAGCGAGAGAGACAAAATTAAAGAGAAAGTGCATAGTGCATACCAACATGTGGCTTCAAAGGCTGCAAAACTCTGGTAAATCGTTAATCCGATTATAGAATTAAGAGTAAAAATTAATTCTGTTTCTTCTGCCATATTTGAAGAAAACTAATCTTGAAACTGATGGATTTTCGGCTCTTAATAGGCTGCATTTGTGTTTTGCAACAAACGTGAAACTTGGTGGAATATACAACAGCATTTCAAATATTGATACTGATCTGATTATCCATTGAAACATTTCATAAACAGACACTCTTAAACATATATTATAAACAACATAAGACAAATCTGCTTAATGATAAATACTCGAAAACATGAGAGAATTTATAAAGGGTAAGTTTTAAGCCTGTTGAGAAGTAAAAGGTGACAGTATTGCACATGTATTTATATTGAGATTGAAGGCTAGTGCCATTATTGCATATAAGTGAAAATGCATCTCCTCGATTTCATTTCTTTAGATTCAGATTTTGTTTCTTAATATGCAGATTTTGTACATGTATAAACAAATCTTAGACAGAATTAATGCATATTAAGTAACAAAATCTGCATCTACTGAAACAAAATCAAATTAAATGCAGTCTCACTAATATGGAATATTAATGTCACCAATAGTAATATAATAAAACTCTTATCTTCATATATAAAAGTAAATCTAAAAAATTATAAGATATCAGTACAGAATCTGACTTTTTATTAGAAATAATATAGTTGGTCAATTTGGAAAAGGTTACCTTGTCATATTTATATTTAATGGTTTTATGTCAATGAAGATTGATATCTACAAACATATATCTT